CAGGCTCGATCCCCAGCAGGGGGCGTGCAGGAGGCAGCGATCAATGATTCTCTTTCATCATTGATGTTTCTATCTCCCTTTCCCTTCCTCTCTGAAATCAATAAAAAATATTTTAAAAAATAAAATATAAATAAATAAACAAATGAATGAAAGAAAGAAAGGAGAGATGAGTGTCTGCAAGTCCAGGCACTCTTCCTGATTGGTTGCACCCCATTGCTTTCAGGAGTTTCTGGAAGAGGTGAGGAAGGAATTGCAGAAAGTGAAAGAAGAAATAATTGAAGGTGAGGTGGTTTTGGAGGGATCCTGTCCCTGGGAAAGAGCCCTGTTTTGGAAGGGAGGGGAGAAGAGACTCTGCCCCTGACCTCTGCCCTTTGTTTCCTTCCAGCCTTTGTCCAGGAGCTGAGGAAGAGGGGTTCCCCCTGACCACAGGGCCCCGGAAGACCCCGTTTCTCCTTTCCGCACACCTTGCCTGTCACCCTGCTTTCCCTGCCTCGACTTGACTTGGAATTGGCTGAAGACTACACAGGAATGCGTCTTCCCCACTCCTCATCCCACTTGGAAAATTCCAAGGGGGTGTGGCTTCTGCCATGCCCACTCCTATACTGGCTGCTGATTGGCTGGGGAGGCCCCCACCCTTTGCTCCCTTTGGTCCTTCCCCTCTGCCATCCCCCTGGGGCAGGTTCCTCTGCTGGGGATGTACCAGTTAACCCCACAGTAGGGGGAAGGAAGGAGGGAATGTCACATTCCCTTGTTCTAGATTTCACTTTAATGCTTAATGCCTTCAAATTTTTGTTTTTTTAAGGAAAAAAATTATATATATCTATATATATATATTTAGGTTTTGGGGGGAAGGGAAATTTTTTTCTCTTTGGTTTTGATAAAATGGGGAGTTTTTAAATGCTTTAGCCCCGGGCTTGTCCGATTCGGGGCAGCTATTTAAGGGGGAGGATGTCCCACCAGGCCAGGGGCATCTCCCTCACCCCAGGGACATCCCTTCCCTCCGGCTCCTTCCCCTTTTCTATGAGGAATTAAGATGCTGTAACTTTTTGGAACCTCAGTTTTTTGGTTTTTTATTTGGGTAGGTTTTGGGGTCCAGGCCATTTTTACCCCCTTAGGGAAAATAAGATGAGGGAGAAAGGAAATGGGGAGGAAAGCTTTCCTCCCCTCTCCCACCTTCACCTTCAGCTTCTTGAAAATGGGCCCCCGCGGAATAAATCTGCCAGTTTTTATAAATGCTAAGATTTCTGGAGTGATTGGAAGGGCTGCTCTGATGAGGACAGGAGGGGGGTGCTGTCCCCCGACCCCAGCAATCCACCTGCTCCTCGTTGTCCTAACCGCCCTGCACCTGTTCCAGTTCCCTCAGGCTCCTTCAGCCAGGGTGGGCTCTGCCCCCTCTGACCTCTCAACAGACCTCCCTCCCTCCCTCTCCCTGCTCCTTACCAAGGCAGCTTCCTCATTCCTCCTTTAGTCCAACCAATTCCCCGGCCTAGAGAAAGCCCGGGGCTGTCCCTCATAGTCTGCCGGCCTGGGGCAGGTCCCTTTGCTGCCCGTAGACCCTGGTTCCCGTCTGGGAAAGGACGCATAGGAGGGTCCTCTGGCCCCTTCCCGTCGGAACCTCCCAGCTTTCCCTAATTGTAATGACCCTTGTGTCCTTACCGGCACGCACCATGGCTCTCGGACGCATGCACCATGGCTCTCGGACACACTGAGATGCCCCCATTACCTCGGAGCTCCTTTAATTATAAAACATTTACAGTCTAAAAAAATAGCATTCGGAAGCGGCAGAGCTCACGCACACCCCCTGCAGTGGTTCATTGGGTTGGCAGGGAGTAGGTCAGGCAGGTTACACTGCCTGGGGGAATATTCCCTTGGGATGGGGGTGGGGAGCTTAGGGCGGAGGGGCCAGTGGTCCCGTGGAGGAAGCCTTTGCATGAAGGAGGGTGAGGGGGACTGGGGGACCAGTCCAAAGGCAGAAAGGGAGAGGGAATCCCTGAGTGTTCTGAAGAGCAGGTTTGGATGGAAGGTGGGGTCATGACTGTTGCCCATGTAGGAGAACAGGTCGGGCCCCGTGAAAGGCCAGCGGGGAGGATGGTGGGTAAGGACAGCAGTGGGTCCAGAGCTACTGGTAAACGGGGCTTTGATTAAAACAGAACTGTTCAGCCCCCTGGCAGCACCGACTTTTCCAACCTAAAGGGCATGTCCTGCTGGAACAGGTCCTGGGAGCAGGGGGAGTGGGAGAGCCGGTGGAGCTGCCTGGGAGAACCCTGCCAGCCTTTCCTGTGGGCGGTGCCCAGACGAAGGTGCAGGTGCTGCTGTTGGAATGATCACTTAGGAGGTGCCCTCAGTAGAGGGGCTGGTGGGGGGCCAAAGTCAGGCA